TATTTATGTAAAAGCTTCAAAAACAATAGAGAATATTCCAATATACTCTTCATCCAATTTATCCAAATGATAATATTTTACAATACTTGCTGTGTTACCTTATGATTTTCTCTGTCTCTATGTTTCTGTTTCTGTCTCTTCCTCGAGATATATATATATATACATATACATATATATACATGTATGTACCTATATTTTTTCTTAATTGTTTGAGAGTAAGTTGCAAATGTGATGCTCCTTCACTCCTTATAATTTATTATGTACTTTGAAAAACACAGGCACTCACTTATAAAATTACAATACAATCAGCAAAATCAGTAAAATATAGGCTTTATTCACATTTTGCTAATTAATGCATCACTGTCTTTCATAGCAAATATGAAATAAAATAAAATAAAATATAAACAAAATGTGGCCTAGGATTCTGCCTAGAATTGCACTCTATGTTTAGTTGTCATACAGTGAGAATAATTTTCATGATATTTATTAGCTGTTTCAATGGTCATGATAGTCAATGTTTTATACAATGTCTATGATTGATTTTTCATTTTGTTCTTTCTCCTTTGTTGGGCTGATAAAATCTTGTCTCTGTAACTGTTTTTTTTCCCTAATTTCATTATCATTCCCTTCAAATGGCTTGTACTCACATTGTAATAACTATTTTATTCAGTAGGATTTCATAATGATTGTTTCCTGCATGGCAATATCATTTAATGTAAGAGATCAGAATAATGAAAAAAATATCATCAAGTATCTGAAGTATTTTAAATCTTAAATGGGATGATATTGTCTTAAAATACTGTTTCAATATTAACTAATCCTTTCCATGAATTTTTTTAAATTAATCCAGCTGAAACTTAATCTATTCTTTATTAACTTATTTTTAGTGATTTAAAACAATTACTTATCTATCTGTCTCTGTGGCAAAAGCTTTAGTGTACTTGAAGACTTTTTAAAATTAAATCATCTCTTAGTCTTTATACTGAACACAACAGAGCTCAGATCTTCATTTGCTGTGTATGAAAATATTTTATTTTATTGATGTGATTTTTTTGCCTTAATATATTGATCTCTAGAAATAATCAATATGTGAGCTACAATTCAACAAATCAAGGATTTAATTTGAAAAAGATAATCAGGTTGAATAACTTTCAACCTGAAACAAAAGCTTCATTCTTCTTTCCCGTAATTCAGTAACTGTTCCTCAGCTGCTACCAATGTCAATCAAAACGTGTCAGTGCAGTGATTATCCATGGAGATATAAAACAAGATGAACTTGGTCAGTTTTCCAAAAGGAGATAATTTCAACATCAGAAATGCTGTATTTGACATGTTAGGCCGCTTTAGAACTAACATCAGCTTCTATCTTGGCCTTCCTTCCTATGTTTATAAAGATTTAGAATGGCAATATTCCAAACACAATAGTAGGTTCTCAACAATTATCAGTCCTTTCTCTCTCTCATCTGCTATTCTTAAATTATACATTTGCATCTGCTAAAATTCAATATGATAATTTTAAATTTCCAATCAGTAAACACTTTTTTCCTGTGTATATATAGGCCAGCTCTGAGTGATGAATATTCATTTCGTGCTATGGCATATTAACATTAAAGCATAAATTTTGGCTCTGAACATATTACCTATGAGAGATTTCTCATTGCACTTGCTATTGCTGCTATTGGTTGTCGGCACAGCCAAGTCCCCATTCCCTTCTTTCTTACTTGCAACACTAAAATATATCATGAAAGTTATAAAAGAAACTGGAACTTATTTCACTAGTTTAGTTAGTGAAACTAAAATAAATGGGAATATTAAAACAGCACCTTCTATGTAATGGACTCTGCCAGGCTCTTCAGTAGATGAAAATCAGTCATTCACTATTTTTGGTGCTTTATTATACTCTGTCCAAGGCATTAGAAAGCTTAATATAAATGATTGGGCTACTCTGGTTTTATTAACCCATGGGTTTTTTTGTGAGTAGGTTCTACTGAATCCTTGGAGTTTATAAATTATTGGGCAGCTATAATTTTATTAACCCATTGTTCTTATTGTAAGTGGGTTCTACCAAATCTGTGGAGTAATTGCTAGCAGGTTAGTGTACCTGCAGTTGATGAGAACTCTGAGGTGGAAACTGTGTATATTACTAATGATACAGGTTGGTATTTTTTACTAGAGTCCAAAGATAAGCCTGATTAAGTGCCCTTTTGCTTGTCTTTTCTAATAAGGGTTTTTGAATGTATTGAATGCAGTTTGTGCATTAGCTACAGAACACATTCTATAATGCATGCCTTACTCATCCTTCAAAAACAAATACAGTTGGTGCAAAATTTCCCATAATAGCCCATTATTGAAATAATAGTGCACTAAATGAAATACCTTTCTTTAAAAAACTTTCAGGACTAGAACTCATGGTTAAAATTAAATAAATCTTAAAGATATACAAATCAATTCAGTAGTGATTATGGTTAAGTTATTTACACCATTAGAAGAGGTGGGCTTACCAGTAGTTATAATTTATTTATGGATAGATATATGATATTTTCTATTCGATAGTCATCTATAGGTGGCTCTCAATTTATTTACATTTATGTTTATACAATGTTTGCATTGCTCTAAGAATATCCATTCTAAAATTAGGGTACCTGTGAAATATTTATATGTGAAATAGGTAGAGAACACAGTAACATAGAGTCATCTATTAAAAACAAATGGATCTGATGTTAGAGATATGTGTGTGTGTGTGTGTGTGTGTGTGTGGAACACTTGGAGAGTTTGCCTTTCTCAACCATATCCTGTCTGAAAATATATTTCTCCTGTTAAAATGCATTTTAAGCATTTGTTAAGAGTTTCCCTAAGAAAATAAAATCATAACTCTTTCTTGATAATAACTAGGAAAATAATAGTCAGCTAGCTTATCATATGTATAATGACTTGGATATCCAGAGACATTGTATAATAAAGTCAACCCTTGGACTGCTCTCCATGGTATCTTCTTAATGCACCTTTAATCATGGAAAAGAGGACTGTGAATGGATAATGTAATTGCTATTGCTGGATATAACAACAGTAGCTGCATCTTTTTGATTCGTGAAACTGGGTCTATTCATGTCCCCATCAGCAGTACCATATGCTTTTAAGCTATTGGTACTCTGCAAAGCAAAACGCGATTATAATTACTGCACAATACTTTTTCTAACTTACATTCATTCAAAATGTTTGCAATTTATTAGCTGTGGTTGGCATCTTATTCACCCTCTATTACTATAGCTAGCTGGCTACCTCTCTGAAGACTGGTAGCATTCCTACTGCCAAAAAAACCAAAATTATCAATGAGTCATGGTTCTCACAGCTTATCTGATGAACTTTTAACAGTCTTATCGCATCTGTTAGTCACATATTTCCTTACCATTGGCATCATGTTAGCATACACTCAGTTTCCAGATAGGATAAACAATGGCTGGTGTCAAAAAAGGTCATATTTGTTACTTCTGGATCACTGAACTCTGTCTCTGCCTTAGTTTCCATACCTTTAAAACAGATAAAGTAATGCTTGCACCATGTTCTTCAGAGTGAAAATTGACATAATGGTGTGAACTCAGGTTAAAATTATAACACATAATATAAATAAAAGGTAATCTCCCAACCTTATCTTGAAAAATAAAGAAAGAAAATATTTGAATGCAGTAAGAGAAGGTGGAAAAGTTTCATCACGCTTTATTTGTAGGAAAATTAGCCCCCATTCTTTGGGCAGAGGAGAGGCAGAAAAATGACTGTTTATGAAAAGAGACAGAGGAAAAATTGTTTTGTAGTATCTGAAGCATTCAAGCTGCAGTTTCAGGCCCCAATGGTGATACCACCAGGGTTTAACTGTCCTTAAATAGAGGTGGGATAGATAAAAAGTAACTCAGCAACAGCACCTGGTGAAAGAGGCTGTCACATCTAAAATAAGGAGAAAGGGCGAAATTAGAGCAACTGTAGTTATCTATTTTCTAGTCTCTTCCTTCTTCCACGTTTTCCCAATTTCTTCACAAATTATGGCTAATTGATTGTGTTGCTTTCTAGTTTTAAAATACAACCCCTTTTTTTGAACCTGTCCCATAGATAGGGACTGGGGACGAAGACATGGGAGAGAAATCAGAACTAAGTCAATGCCCCAGTGATTGTACGCTAGAAGCGTGTTGCTGTATAACAATATCGCCCTGGAGCCTCTTTATTTGTTTATCAATGAACATCCTACAGCGTCCCCGAGATGTAGGTCAGTCTCATTGGAAACACGAGTCGCCGATCACATGCAGCCTTCATTATGTTTTCAGACCGGGTGCGCTGCTGATTCCTGTACACTGGAGTGATTCTGAGCCGCAAGAGAAGAGACACCTGTGCCTTAGGGAAGCAGGTGAAGTTCCATCTACCTCCCGGAGACTTCCCTAGTGTTTTTCCACCCCTCAGCCACTCACTCCTCATCCCCATCTTGCCTGCCGTCTTGGACCCCAGCTTCTCTGTTTAACTGGTGCTTCTCTCGCTCTCTCCCGGCTCCGCACTTCAGCTGAGGACCCAGAGCTCCACACAACTGGGCATGCCTAATAACCAGGGAAGGCTTGAGCAGCAAGAAGAAAGCGTTTGCACCTTCTGCGCTCCCCTCCCCTCTGCAGCTGTTTCCTGCCAGTCAGGCTATCCGACTTGCGGCCTGGCCCAATGAGGGCCCACAGTCTTCGCGAAGGCCCCGCCTCTCATGGCACACCACCAATGAATGGTGGGCAGAGGTGGGACGTATCCTGTTCCCGCCTCCCCAGTTAAGGCTGCTTGTGTGAGCGGGGCTCGGCGCTAGCGAGGGACGACGGAAGGGACGGGCAGGTGTGGGCGCTGGGCCGCGCAGCCCGACGGCGGGAATCGCAGGTGCTCGGTGCATGGACCAGTGAGGACGCGCGGAGATCTTCTCGCCGCGGCGTAGGCGGAGCAGCGCGGCAGCAGGCGCTGCCCCGCGACCCTGCGTCCGAGCGAGCGGAACCTTGCGCTTCCCCGGTGGACTGTCCGAAGTCCGCGCTATGGAAGAGGAGAAATATTTGCCTGAGCTGATGGCAGAGAAAGATAGCCTGGATCCATCTTTTGTGCATGCATCGCGCCTTTTGGCGGAAGGTAGGACTTGTCCCCGCAGATGGGCACAGACCTCTGGCCGCCCATCTCACCCGCGTCTGGGTTAGGAGAGTGAAGTTGGGGAGGGACGCCTGTCTCCTTCGCAGAAACTGTCACCCTGAAGATGCTGGCTTCAGAGCTCGGGGCGGACAGAGCCCATTCTCAGGGCGGGCAGCAATCCTCCTTCTCTGCGTTTTAATTTGGGAAAGACTAAAGCTTGGCGATCTAAAGGCAGTGGTGATGTGACCTGTTAGGATCACTGGTACAGAAACCAAAAAGTGTAACGCGGTTTACAGGGATATTTTCACTTCACAGAGGGAAGAGAAATCAGTTTGGAAGTAAATGGTAATCAGTGTAGTGTTCAAAGAGCCTCTTGTTATATAGCAGCATTTTTTTTTTTTTTTTTTTTTGCTGCATATGGGAATTGATGTTGATACCCGTTAGTCTAATTACAGTCTTTCCTATGAAAAGTCTTAGAATCAACCTAGATTAAACTATCATGTTCTTTTGTGTTTGTGAATGTGGCAGAGGCTAAAGTGCTTATCAATGTATTTGAAGTGTGATAATTGGTTTACTCTGCAAGTTACTGGTCCCTGGGAACACTCGACAATTCATCAGCTGTTTTACCAAGTGTGCATTTTCTGTTGTGTACCTGTAATGTTAAAGGAGATTTAATTCCTAGAACATATATGTCTTGCCTTTTGCGTGCCTCTGAAAGGTTGTTTAAACACACACACACACACACACACAAACTTTATGGCAGAAATATTAACCAAAATTATTCCATCTGTCTTAAAGCTTTCTAACTGCTAACGATATAGTATTTGTGGTAATCTACACATGCCTTTTAAAAAACAACTTTAGACTTTTTTTTTGGTGAGTGTTTCATTAATAATGAATTTCTTCATCGTTAAATTGACTATAATGCAATTTTGTAGCTGAGGTTGTTATAGACTTATCTATAGTAAAACTGAAAGTGACAACTGCCTCTTTCTCAGCCCTTCAGCATTAAGAGAAATGTTTTCTTTTTTGCGACTTAGTTGTGCATGGAAGGAAAAATTCTGGTCCTCCATGTGTGATTAAAAAGAGCACTAAGTTGATTTAAATATTTTATTGATGGATTATTTATAATAACAATAAAGTGTAAGGTGTGTTTTCCATTCTTGCATACTAAACAGTTAAGAAAAGATTTGTTATCAAAATATTGAGTTTGTGAAACAACTGAGCTGTTTTTCAGGGAACAAGTTGGTCTTGGAGAGGATTTGAGAAAGTGAAATGCAATTATGCTTACTACTTTTTTGGTTACTGATTTAAAAAAATAGAAATTAAAGTTGAAAAGTAAAGTCAATTAAAAAGTTAAACTCTATTAAAAACAAAGGTAGCTACATAAAATGAGGAGTATTGAAAATGAATGAGTTATTAAGTGCTTAGGATTGTTCATAATAATTAAAAATGCAACAAAGCCTTCAAAGTTTTTTACACAATATATTTTTCCAGAAGTGTCTTTATTTAGCTGATAATATCTTTAAAATTAAAAAAAATTACAAATTGATCATTTTCTGTGACCTGCTTGCTCATTGGTGCTCTCTTTGGGACAGCAAGCTCAATTATTCATCCTTCACTAATGAGAGTTAGTGTACTTTTGAAAACTGCCAAGCTAAGGAAATGCATATGAGAAGCTCTTAAGAGAGTACTAGGTATTCTGTGGCTGATGAAACAGAGCAGTCTATGCATTTGGTTCCTTAACATTTTATCTTTCCCAGGAACTAGATTTCTTGATACTTAGCAACACGCTCAGATGTTCCTTGTAATTTATTTTTTTCCCAGTAGGGGGAAGTATGTCCTGCTTTTGTAAAGCCTTAGGACGAAATAGCTCCTAAATAGAGAAAAAAGCATCTAAGTAAGAAACAAAGAGAGATGTCCAAATTTCAGAGAAATCACAATGAGTAAAAGAGAATGAAATAGACGATTATAATAATCTTGGAGTTTATAAAGAGATGTGCAAAAGATACATAAGGTTTAAATTAATTCTCTAATGACACTTAAGGCTCTTTATAGGGGCTTATTAAAAAGTATAAGGTATGTGTGCTTTTGAATCTTTGATAATGTTAATGTACACTTTACATTATAGATCTTTCATTATTTTTTAAAAAGGCCATTTGCCAAGATTTTCAGGTTTGATTTGGATCTCTCTAGGAGAATATTGTTGAGATTATTTTATTTCTCATACCTGGAAATGCTCTGATTGAAGGCAGTGGCTATAAATAAACCTGACATAGATATTCATTTGGAAGGAAGATGCACACTGAAGTACATTTCAGTCAGTACGGTGCAGACAGTCTCAAGACTGAGTGAGTAATAAAAATGATCCAGATGATTCAGTTCTTTGGAAAGATTTTTTCCAGAAGCTAGTATCTATAGGGGTAGTGATATAAGCCAGTGAGCTTTCACAATGATTTATTTTGCTGTTTTGATTGGTGATAAATGCAAATTAGTGCTCAATATTGACTGTTATATTTAAAATTGAAGGCCCTGAGGTTTAAAGTACTAGTTTTTTAGTTATTTTTTCATTTTTGTTGTGATTTGTTTTACTTCACTTGTTTCTGCCGTTTTCAGTATGTATGATTTTAAGAAAGCTGATAGAAAGGCCCTAATATTTTGTGTATGACTTTTACTTAGAAAAGATCTTGAATAATACAGTTTGAAGAGTGTTTATAATATGTTTGATTAATTAAAATAAAGATTTTCCTGTGATTATACTATTGTTTATTATTTGTTATGGATGGTGCTTTTGAATATGATAAAACAGCAAACTCAGCAAGATCCTAAAAGTTCCTCTCAGCCTCTGAATTTGCTTGCCAGATGAAATTAGATGAGGTTATTTATATCTCTGCTACTTCTGGGAAGTGCACTAAACTGTGAATCCAGATACCTGGATTTTAATTCCACTTTTGCCTAAACTGAATCTTGGTAAGCTTCCCTGCCCTGGGCTTAGTTTCCTTGTCTCTCAAGTTAAGGAGTTGGACTAGATGATGAATATGTTTCTTTGTCATTCTAATTAAGTCTAGGACTACTGCTGATGCAAAGGAATGGCGTTTATGTATTCAGAACACCAAAATCAATGGGTGAACATTTTTGAAACCTTTTAAAATTTCTTCCTAGATTAATGATTAATAATACATTTATGGCAGTATAATATAATTTGTGGCATATACATTATTTTGGCCGCTGAGGACAGATTTATGTTCTTAAGTCAATTGAACTATTATGAAGGCTTGGAGCTAAAAATATATATGCATGGAAATATTCTTGTTTTCAGTCAAGCATGCCTGTCTGCTGACAGACATAGACCTGTTCAAGTTCATAGATTCAATTATGGTGATTCCATATCTTTAGGAGGATTAATAAATTCTTGTCCAGTTGAGACTGTTTTGGGTTGACAAGACTTCCTAACCTGAACTCTTCACGAATATATTGGTAGATTCATCATTGTTTTGGTTGACTTATAGGATGAAGTCAAGTATTGCCAAATAAATATACCAACAGTATAAATGTTAAAAAACAACAACAACAAAAAACCTCTAGGTGCTATTTTCAGATTTCAGTGAAAAGCTTGGCCGTCTATCTTGGACTGGCTTCTATGCTGCAGATATAGATGAGTTTTTAAAACCACACAAGAAATGGGGATTAACGTTTATTACAAATACTTATTTGTAGTGACTTAATTACATTTAGTGTCTCAGTAAGGATCATTTTTTTAATTTAAATTGTGTTCCTTAAAATATTTTCCATGAAGCATGGTGAATCCTTAAGTGAATTAAAGGTATTGGTATGTCTGAAATCAACTTCTGATAAAAAATAGTATTCCTGTTGCTTTTTCTTTGACTAATGTAATTCCTTTTTTCTTCCTCTTGATATATTTGGGATAATCTGTTCATGTTTCTTAAGGAAAAAACAAAAAGTGGCAGATAAACTAAATTCAAGGTTTAACTTTGATCTACAATTAAGACACATTTACAATATCATAGAAAATTTTGCTTATGCAAACAAAACGCGTGGCATAGATTGGGGACACTTCTGCCTACTATGAAATTTCCTCTGATTCTCAGTTTCTCCATCTGTAAAACTGGAAAAGTAACATCTACCAGGCATGGTTCTTTAAAGGTTAAAAAATGCTGTTTGTGTCAATATAGGCAGTATTTTATATAAATGTAAATAGAATTTTTTGTTCATATATAAGAAAAGCATAAGCAGAAATTATACAAATATGAGATGATGCTTTCAAGATTTTCCTTAATACCTTAATGGCATTGTGGACTTGACCTCAGCTTGAAGCTTGATTTTGTAAGAAAATAAACACTGCCTTACTTTTGAATTACTGCTGAGTGGAATTTGAACTCATAAACCAAAGTATAAATAAATTATCTTATGAAAAATGATTCCAATGAGGGTTTTTAAAATATTATGTTCTCTGAGTCAATGGTTACTTGTCATTGTTTTACTTGAGTTTGATTAACTCTGGGCCTGTGTCTTTAAGGGTAATTCTAAACCTCCTGAGGCCTCTTCATAAATCTGTCTGTCCTTCCCTCCTGGTAGCTGTTTTCATCCTCTCTTTTCTTGGGGAAAAAGGATATATACTTCCTGATGCTCTTGAACCTCCTATTGTCTAAAAACTTCCATAATCTTTTCTACTGTCTTTCATTCTCAGAAGATAAAATGTTTCTTTTTTGTTCAAGGCTGACTCGTTCACCCATATCCTTAACTTCAATGCTCATCATCTTCTCCGGACTTGTTCTATAGTTACAACTTTTCTTTTGTATCTTCAACTTCTTCCTTCCTGTCCACTCTTTCTTTGTAGCAGTCTGAAAACATGTTCCAATCTGAATAATTTAAAAAATAGAATTCTTATTTCACTTGCCAAAAATAATAAAAACAATCTTTTTTGGACATTTATCCTCTTTCTACTTTTGATAATATCAGTCTATACTAAACTGCCTCGTTTC